CATTAGCACCTCTAGTATTATATGTACTGAGAAAAATGGTGACGTGTTCAATACTTATTTTACCCACTGTATATATACGTACATATATATAAAGTCAAGCAAGTGGTTAAAAGTTTCTTCGGGCTTCTGAATATGACCAAAAAAGTTCAATAATAATAATATAACATGCATATTTTATAGCATCATAAGAGGCTTCTGCTTCACCTTAAAGCATTTATTTATCAGACATCAGCCAAAACAAAGACAGCTTCAAATAAGCAAAGCAAACAAATTACCTCCTCACCAGGAATCATCTCCACTATTATGTTTGTACCCGATGATCTAAATGAAAGTGGACAGAAAAAAATGATTAAAKATTTTTTTCTTTCCATAACACAGCTACTGATCACAGACCATGGCAGATAAAAAAGCAGGTTTTTTTAAAGAATCAAAAGTGTTGTTTAGATTACATCATTTGATCCTATTTGTAAACAGAACCTTTCATATAAATAAAGTTTAGATTTTTTATTGACTTGTTTCAGTACAGTTGTTTCATAAAAGAAAATAGAGAAAACATTTGAATAAAAGTTTTGTTTTGCACAACGTGATGTTATTTTTGAACCCATCTACTTCTAATTTGTTTAGGATTTTAGATTTTAATCATCACCCATATACTGCCATTTTTCTCGACTGGAAAAGGGTGGAAGGCCCTCTCCTTGTCAGAGGAGAGCCTCTGCCTCAAATGGAGGTGTTTAAGTATCTGGGTGTCTCGTTCACGGGTGATGGTAGGATGGAGCGGGAGATGGACCTCGTCCTCAGTAATGAGGACATTGCTTCAGTCGGCTGTGGTGAAGAAAGAGCCGAGTTGAAAGGCAAAGCTCTTGATTTACTGGTCTGTCTGTGTCCCAACCCTCACCTATGGTCATGAGGCGTGGATCATGACTGAAAGAACAAGATCCTGGATACAAGCGGCTGAAATGAGCTTCCTTCATAAAGTGGCCAGGCTCAGCCTTAAAGACAGTGTGGGGAGCTCTGTCATCTGGGGGGAGCTCTGAGYAGAGGCTCTGCTCCTCCACATCGAAAGGAGTCAGTTGAGGTGTTCGGGCATCTGATTAGGATGCCTTCTGAGCACGTCTCACTGGTAGGGCACCCCGRGGAAGACCCAGAACTCGCTGGGGGGATTATGTATCCTCTCCGGCCTGGTAAAGCCTCGGGGTGCAGGACGAGCTGGAAAATRTAGCTGGGGAGAGAGATGTCTGAGTTTCTCTCCGCTACCTGTTGCCTCTGTGACCCGACTATAGATAAGTGGAAGATAGAGACCCAGATACTGGATGTGAAATACATGATGATGATGATGATGATAATCACTGGTTATTTAGTTTGTGGTGCAAGATTTATTTTGATCAGATTATTTTTTGTCAAGATGGTTTGTGTCAAAACATTTCTTGATTTGAGTGAGATAGTATTGTCTTTTAAATGTGTCCCACTTGTCCGCATCATATCTGTAAAACACAAACAGCAGATAATGCAACTTCAACCCTCAGGGTGTGAATCATTATCAATATTTAGCAATGTATCCTTACATGATGCTCGTCTCTTGCTCAAGAATGTGAGTTCAAATTTGACCTGTAGAACAAATTGTATAAGAATATGCAGAGTTACAGCAAAGCATGAAATAGGAAAGGAAAAAATACCAAAAAACCTAATCAGGCTTTGCCTTTAAGTTTTGATGGCACTGCATATTTAAACTGAATAAAAAGGGAAKATTCACTTTCCTCGATTCAATGACAGGCTCCAATGAACAACTTGATCTTTTTGCTGGTGACATACTGTGTTTCAAAAGCAATCGAATCTCAACCTCAAGGACATGGAACGGATAGCGTGGCTCCATGTCTACGTCGACTCATCTGAAATCAGTGCTGCTTGTGCCTCTGCCTAAAAATATCTGCAWAGATGACCCCAAATCCTTATTAAGTGACTTGGCTTTTTGCGTCCGTGTGCATAATATTAACTGTTCATCAGATAGAACTGGAATTATCTGCCTCTCAGRTTTTATTATTTTTTACTACCATCTCAGTTACTGTGAGATGTAAGAGTGGCTGTTATTCAAAGAGTGATTCATCTCCTCCCATCTAAAYTACTTGTGGTCATGGACAAGTAGGCCTCTGCACAAAAGTGTTTGCAGGTGTGAGGTATTTTTGCTAAGTAGCAGTAACCTGTATTTTTGTAWGTTTTACCCACACTTAGATGGCACTCTCACCTGCTGCCTTTGCATTGTTCAGCTGGACCCACGAAATGCTGAGTGGAGGCCAAAGCTGCTGCAATCAGCGGTACCGTGCAGACTAATACAAGCCTCTCTAATGTCTGCCTGATAAGTGCTTTTAGTTTGTTGATTCTCATGTCAAATTTTGAGATTTTTGTGTGTTTTCCTAGCACGTACTAAGACCATCTTGTGTTGAGAAATGAACAACATTTTAGTCAAACCCTAAAAATAAAACTTGGCAGAATCTCAAATTCATGACATCAAAATTTAGCTAAATATTTGCAAAA